GTTGAAATTTGTTTTAAATCAGATGGCGTAACGCCAAAAATCCGCGAAGTCATAAATATACACGAAAATGTTCGATTTCTCTAGGAATTTCAATATATAAATACCATCATTTCTGACTTGATTAAAATCTCGTGACCAAAACTCTTTATAAAATTATAAAGTCAAAATAATAAATTTTGATTTTGTTTCAATAATGCTCTTGTATATCAATTCTGTAAAAATATCAAAGTATAATAAAATAATAAAATTTCTTCTGATGGCTTCTTGAAAAAATATATAGCGTTTATGGAGAACACACTACGATATCGTCCACGGCTTTATCTTATGTAGTGTTAACAACATTCGATATCCTTCATTGCTTCGTTTAAAAACCGTGATGTATCTGTAAAAAGCAGTTTCATAATATGCCAACCTTCTTTCTCTCGGTATATATCTATACCGAGTAATCATTCGGTTAAAAATACGTAAAATATCTCAAATAAAATATTTTTAGAACGTCACCATACACATACACATCCGCGCGCGCGTGCGCGCGCGAACTTTAATAATGTATTTTTCATTTACATTTAAACGAGCATATAAAATGAGTATATAAAATCTCGATAATTCTGTGCTCTAGACACGCTTCTCGCCAAAACGCGAGCTTTTTTCGGCGTGCACAATAATGAATGCTGAATTTTTCTTAGGCAGAGATGCTGGAGACGCATCATCGATCGCGCGAGTGAAAAGTTTCCGTTGCAAGTCGACGTATGTATATACATGAGGTCCGCCATTAGCATGTGCACACATGCATGCATGTGCAGACGCGTAAAGGTCACGCTCATTGTGCTTGCGGAACACGTTAATTTAGAGCCCAACTTGACACGCGTCTCATTTCAGGACGAGGTTCATTGCTAAGGTCATTTCCCTAAATGCTCGCGTCACGCGTGCTCGCTAATACAATACCGCATACATAATCCCGTTCGTTTAAAACATCGACACAGATTCCTTAGTGCGTCAGAGCCACTAGATTATGCTGTACAATCGCGTTGCACTTGTTAAAGAAAAAGAACGTAAAATTTGCAAAGTGGCAAACTCATTCAAATCTAACTATTATTCTTATCTCTTCGGTCTCCTTCGAAATCGGGCGTTCAATGATAATTTTTCGTCAATAATTAATTTTCGATCATTTATTTCTCGAATAATTATTCTTTTTTTTCCAAATAAAATAACAATAAACGTATAAAAAAACAGTGGTATATTTAAAATTTTATAAATCTAATTTCGAAAGTGGATAACTTTTTTCCGTACATCTCTGCAATATATGATTTGTCAAAATAAAATAGAAGAATCATTTGGAAAGTTTCAAATAATAAAAATTTGATGTTACAGACATTTTAATCTGTAAATTATGAATCATTACTATGCTTAACAAAAATGTCATTTTGATAAATTAATATTATATAGAAAAAATATATTTTATTAAAAAATGTAATAAAAATAGTAAAAAATATTTTACAAAATTCAGATATAAATAATATAAATTTTAAGACGTAGTAAAATGAAAACAGGCAATTTTATTGCAAACAAAATTGTTTGCTAATCCACTGAGAAAACTTACGGATGACTTATATACGTGACGCGACTATTTTTATCACCGTATGAACGACTTGTCTTGTCGTTGTCGACAGATTATTTGAAGTCTCGTCCCATTTCCTCGATGCGTCTGATATATAAGACCGACTGTCAGAATTAATATTGTTTACTGTCATAGAAATGCGATTTTCTGATAAATGAAAATGATAAATATCTAAATAAGTATGAATTCAAAACTCTTTAAATGTTAAAATCTCTTAAATGTCTTATATAAAAATATTTATTTTTTTTTTAATGACAGAATTATAAATATTCATTCAAAGTATTTTATCTTATTTCATAAAAGATTCATTTTTGATTAAATTTCCTTGAGTAAAGCAGTGTGGTAACGATACTTTGGCAATTATATCCAAGATTCTACAGTTATGATTCTACTTTGTATCGTTCTGTTGCGCGATTAATTTCTGGCAACTACACAAATTTTTGTTGCAGTTTTTCGTCTATTTTTAATAACAATCAGAATAATTTTAAATCAAGTGCAACAAACAATCAATTCTAAAAAAAGATGATCTAAACAAATTCATTTTCATACGCGGCCAATAAATAATTCTGACGCAAAGCATCATATTATTTGTCGTTTTAAAATAAAGAATCATTATTAAACACTGAGAAGATATAAATTCACTAGAAAATTTGGACTTTTTCTTCGTTTTTTTTCTTTTTTTTTTTTTTTTTTTTTTTTGTTTTTTTTTTTTTTTTTTATAATAACCTGTAGTCTCATATGCGGATGCGTACAAAATGTAGTAATGCCCAGTCCTAATTAATTCTATGTCATTTTGTAATTCCACTTCAGTAAATGATAGTTAGTGAGATAGGTATACAATAATTGGGATGAGATTTTATGCAATTATACGCACCTAACGTAATCGCTTACGTATAAGTCAATGGCATAAAGCATTTCGAGTGTCTGTTTCTGACAAGATCACAAGATACATAAATCGCTGCGAACAAGATGAATTTGCGCCGAAAAATTCTCAAACATTTTATTTAAGATTTTTCTTTCATCTTCGTATTCTTCAACGTTAACTAAGAATGGATACATCGAAAAAACATAATATACTTTTAAAGATAGACAATAAAAAATGAACGACAAAAATATTTTTAACGCTATTTGACGCTAAATTATAAATAGAAACTAACGTTAAAAGTTTCCAACAATATGCGACGAAAAATCAACTTGCAGTTTATCGCAATTTCAAAAGCTAAAGCTGGCAATCGGTTTCAGCAACCATTGGTTTAAGCAATTATCTGTTAACAATGAGCGAATTCATTATCCATCGCGAACGGTGACGCGACGTGAAAAACGAGAATAAAAAATTTTTCAAACCGATAGTAATCGGGATAGATAAAAAAAATAACGAGTGGAAACTGGAATTTCGTTTTTGGGTGGTTCTCTGAGACACTTACCTTGAGCATGGGGGCGGTTTCATCGTGCCCGTGTTATCCGCGATAGCAGAACTCGGAAGAACGACGAGGAACGTGAAGAACGCAGCGTGCACCAGAGGACGAAACATCAAAACGGAGCATATCGGGATCATGGCCATTTTTTCGTTTTCGACTACCGATTTTCGGCGCCCCTCTCGATTGCGTACTACTATCACGTATGTGTACAATCTATCTTTTTTTGCTCGTTTCTTATTACGTTGTATCGTCGGTCGAGTATCACGATTTGATTTTACGTTACACACAAGTTATAGAAGCACGCGCGTGTCAATTTTTTTTCTTAAAGCTTTACGAAAAAATAGCGTAAAATGAAAACAAGAACAAAAACTAACAATGCGTATACCGAAAGTTGGATTTTAACGACGTCTTTCTCCGACTTTCCCTCTTTTCATTTAAGAAACGAAAAGCTGCTCTCTTCTCGATGTTACAATCGTGTACGCGCGCTTTCTTTTTTTAAACGTTTCTTTTATTTTTCCTTCTCTCTCTTCCTCTTTCACTCTTGATCACGGCTTTGCCTTCTTCGTTAAACGTTTCTCCCTCCGTTGTTCGATTTTTGATATTTGTTTTTATTTTTGCTTAGCCTCGGCTCGATTCGACACAGTGTCTCTCGAAGGACACGAGGATGATAACGCGGGATGATCCTGACACGAATGATCCTTACTTTTTCGTGATCGATTTCGGATGCGGGCCCACGAATTTTCGCAGCCGACGCGGCGGTCTCAGCTCCAACAGCGAGGCCACATCTCCTCTGCAATACAAAAAAAAAAATTAATTAGACATGCATGAATTTCTCATGAAAAACATTTCTCTATTAATATCGCAATCGCTTATATGCATATTCTTTATACATTTATAATTTTTATATATTTTTACATTTATATTCGCAATATCTTCGCAGAGCATTTCTCACTACATATGATTAAAATTAGACATGTGAAATTAGTAAAACTTGCGGAAATAAAATATCTCATCAAGTTAATTTAATTTTAACTATAAAATTTTACGCATTTAGCAAACTCGTCCATGAAAACAAATTAAAGTGAATCAAATAATGTCATTTTTTAATGAAAACGATATTCTCGGAAAATGGAAAAATATATAGTACGGTTTTTTTCTTTCACTGCGTCCGCGAACAACCGTTCGATTCTTACTACGTTCTTGTCTCAAGGAAACTAAACTTATCCACGTAGCAATAGTCTAATAACCGCACCGGTAAATCGATTGCTATACTCTCATTAGCTAATTACACTCAACGCGTCTGATTTATGCGACGAGCTGCGTCTATGATTTGTGAGTCACATTAAAATAATTGGGTGTGTGTTACAGCGCCGTGCTGATCACGGGGATGATAAATATATCATACAGTAAAGAATGATCTTGAGCATCTATCGCAATGAATCATTTATGAATTTGAAAATAATAATTCGACAAATTTATGAAAGACGGTAACGGTAATCAAGCATTGTGACTTTGTTAACAAACAAAATAAAAAAAAGAAAATAAAGTTTTTATATTTTTGTAAGCAAATATTTTAACATAAGATTGCAATAAGTCCCATCAGTTTTGCGAGCAAAATTGACCTCGTCAAGAAGCCTTGGATAATTTCAAACATTTCTCGGCAACGGAACCTGGATTGAAAATATTATATTTGGGTTTTGTAAATTATCTGTAAATATATCACGTGTCGTAATTAATACTAATAATGTAACAGGTACCTGCATGAACAAACATAGTCTGCAAATTTCATAGAATCGCAATTCAATTCGTCAATGTAAATGTACTGAGAAATTTATCCTAACTAATTGATTAAAAAAATAAGTGTTCCATAATAATGTAACTGATTTTTTTAATAATTTGAAAAAATTAATTTTGAATTTGACAAAATTAAATTATTTAATAAAATTATCCTTTAACAATACAATTAACATATAACAATATATTTAATAATATATTTATTTTATTTTATTTATTATATTATATATACATGATTATTGATATAATAAGTCATTCATTTAAATTATAACATATTACTATTAAAATTCAACAATTTAGTTTTTTCAAGCTATTAAAAGATTAAAAGATTAGTTACAACGTGACTTCATTTGAGTCATATATAATTACTTTTATAATTATAGTTTAAGTATAGTTTTATAATTATAGATAAATTACTTTTATAATTAAAATAAGATCAAAAACAAAATTCTGGATTATAAATACGAAATTCTGATCGCAAGTTTTAAGATGCGTTTTATTTTCTGCATGATCGCTCGCCATTGAAACGTGTGCATGTATCAGCGATACGCTTGTTAAGTTTGTCAATATCAGTCACCAAATTGACATCGCTTGCACTTATTTCCGTCTCTAAATGGCATCGGTTACATTTAATCACAGAGTGATCACGAGAGCGACACGTGTTACCTGCCTTAATTACGATATATGAATTGAACGAATAAATCAAATCAGTATTAAATAAGGACTAAATATTTAATTATCAAATAACTATCAATAACTTTC